AGCAGGGTGTTACTTCTACCACCCAGCTTTGAGGGGGGGAAGTGTGAGAGTACGACCCCGTTACACCAATTTCCCCTTTCCATATTTCCTATCTATTTCATTCCTCTTTTTATCCTGATTCATTTGGTCTTTATCTCATCTCATTTGGTTTCCTATTCCTCCTTTTCCATTATCCTTTGGTTTATCCTGTTATTATAATTATATCACCGACTAGGCTCGGGATGTACTGGCGCGCTATATCTAGCGTAATCCTGCCGTAATCCCTTAAAGCCAATAGCCTTGCGTGGCTATACGCAGGGTGATTCTATTTCTAGAAGGGTCTATTTCCTTTGGATAGGATAAGCCTGGTTACCTTATGTACTCTGGAAGTATAAAAGCACCTTGTACTGATTGATAGTGCAACATTGAGCAAACCTTTCCTCGGGACATTCGATCCTGTGACAGGGTGGACCTCTACGAGATAGCACCTGCACCAAGGCTAAATTAGTAGCCCTGGGAGACTTGAGAGTCCCGTTGCCTGGTAAGGAACACTGGCCTGCGTCCTCCTAGCACTAGCCCCATGCCCCATGTACTTGCTAGATAACGCAAAACCCTCTTAGCCCCATGTACTTGCTAGACAACGCAGAACCACTGCTTTGGTTGGTGTCTGCCAGAGGCCACAAAGCGGGCCAGGATGCTGAGAGGGTATGCAAGATTTGGACGAGTGCAAGTCATCAGGTAAATGAGGCAACCCACCAGCTCTGCGTAAGGACCACTTGGCTGTACAGCCTCCTCCAAGACTGGAGCAGAGAGTCTGTGGTCTACTGGTAGAGGGATGGGCTGTGCGGAAGAGAATTGAAGGCCGAACCACTGAAGGACTTGGCGCACCAAGTGTGACTTTGTGAGAGTGATAGTGCGCGCGGCTCTGTCATTGGAGATCTGCAAGCCAAGGTAGCGGCGCAACTCTCCTAGGTCAGTGCAGGTGTGTCTCCTCAGCAGCTCGGCCTTCACGGAGGCCAGCGCATCTCTGTCTGCTATAGCAAAGACCAGATCGTCCATGTAAACAAGGATGTAGAACGGAGTCTGGCCGGAACGGACGAGGGCGAGGGGACTGCAGACAACGGGAAGAACCGCAGGCCAGCAAGTGTAGCACGCAGCGTGTCATGCCACTCACGGAACGCCTGGCGCAGGCCGTAGATGGGGTGCCGGAGGAGGCACTAGGTACCAGGGGGAAAGGTACCAGAGAAGCCCGCGGGGCGGCGCAGGTAGACCTGCTCATGTAGACTGCCCTGGAGGAAGGCTTTGGAGAAGTCGAGGGACTTGAGCTCGTAGTCACGCTGTGTTGCTATGTGTAGCAGCGCCTGAAGAGTAGTCATCTTCGGCGTCCGGCGAAGGTCTGAAATAAGTGAATACCCTCACGCTGACTGAAGCCACGAGCAACGTAGCGCGCCTTGAAGACAAGCGGCTCTCCAGGAAGGCACTTCATCTAGAAGAGCCATCGGCCATCGACTATGTTCACCCCAGGTGGGGGAACTGTGTCGACGAAGGTACCGGTGGATCTCAAAGATGCCATCTCCTGCTTCATGGCGGCTATCCACTGAGAGGCCCTGGGTCCCGTAGTGGCCTCAGCGTAGGTGCGAGGGGTCGGGATGTCAAGGGCGTCTGGGTCACCCTCAGGGACTAGCAGCATGGAACAGAGATGGGGAGCGGCCTCTGACAGGAAAGCAAGCTCGTACTGTCTGTCTTCTAGGACGTCACTGCCAAGGGCAGCCACACCCCCGACGAATGGAGGGCAGGCAGGGTCAGAGACCAGAGCGGTGGCGTAGTCAAGGTGGGGGGTAGCGGCGAAGTCAGTGACAGCAGCAACAAGAGCGGACAGACTCGAGACAGGAAGAGACGGGTCAGTAACGAGAGAGGCAAGGACACGAGGAACAAGGGGACGCGCAGCACGGAGGCGGGGCCACAGCGAGCGACGACGGAGGAGGAGACGGGAGGAGAGGAGGAGCACAAGACGAGTGGGAGCGAAGCAACATAGGGTGAGAACGCGGAATAGGGGAGGTAGGACGAGCACGAGACAGACGACGAGCCCAGACGTGAGACGGAGGAATCGGGTCAGGAGAGAGGGAAGGAGACACAAGAGGAGAACGAGGAGGGAAACGAGCCGGAGAAGAGTCCGTTGGAGGAAACACAGGGCCGTAGACCGGCAGAGGAGGAGGCGGTGGCGACGGAGGAGGCACTGGTGAGCGGTCGGGGGAAGGAAGGCTTAGAAGGCGAAGAGCGTTCACCGACGGTGACAGTGGCGGCTGCTGCCCGACGCCAACACCAGAACCTCTAGCGGCACCATGGCTCCCTTCGAGAAGCTCCATGCCAGCACCCCCAGAACGGGAACCCACTCTAGTACCCGCTCCGGCATGCTCCCCAGCACCCCCAGAACGCACAAACCCCAGCGGCGGTGACGACATCGGCTCAGGCTATGGCGGCGACGGCAGCTGCGGAGGCGGCTGCGGCTACGACAGCAACATTAGCAATAGGGGAGGAGAGATCGGGGCGGGGACAGGCAGTGGAAGGGACTTCGCCGAGCCACGAGAGTCAGCAGACTCCTCGGCAGGGACAACTGACGGGAGGGGGGTAACGTGAGACACACCAGACAAGGCAAGGCGGGGAGAGGGGGAAGCAGGGGCGACCGGGGGAGGGGGAACCAAGAAGGGAGGGGGGTAACCGGGGGACCACAGTGAGGAAAGTGGTGGTAGAAGGAGACGGACTCGTCAAAAGTGACGTCGCGGGAGTGAAAGAAACGGTGAGACGGCGAGTGGTAGAAGTGCCAGTCAGATGAGTCAAGGGGGAAACCTAGAAAGACATAGGGGACATTGCGGGCAGTGAGCTTGTCCGTGCCAGAGGTACGAATGTGAGCAAGGCAGCCCCACACGTGGAACGTAGACGCGTCACTAGGAGACCCGGTCCAGAGTAGGGTCGGCGAAACCTGCGGCCGCTAAGGGTGCGGCCACAGGTTAAGCTGGCGGGCGGTGTAGCGAACGGCGAATGGCCACATAAAATGAGGTGCACCGGCATGGATCATGGAGGTACGAGCCACCTCCATGACCAATCCGATGCGTCCCTCAGCGACCGTATTTTGCTGCGGGGAGTCCGGCAGGGTGTACGACTGGGTGATGCCCTCCGCACGACAGAAGCGACCAAGGCAGCCAGAGGCGAACTCGCCACCACGGTCGGAGTGAAGACGCAACACAGGGAGACATTGGTGAACACGCGCAGAGACAAGCCACAGGATAAGAAAGTCAGGCACATCGGCCTTCCGCTCCAGGGGAAACACCGTGGTGTAGCGCGTGTACTCGCCAACAAGCACTAGGAAGTAGCGCTCATGACGCGGCCCATGGACGGGGGCGGGGCCCCAGACGTCCATGTGCAGGGTCTACAGTGGTTCGGTGGTGGGGGAGAATGAGAAGAAGTGAGGGGCATGGCGGAGCAGGCCCTCGACGCAGGGGGTGCACGGCGGCGCTGCCGAGGTGGGGAGCGCAGGGAACGATGCAGGGAGACCTACGACAAGACCATGCTGAGACATATAACGGAGACGTGTGAGGGCGGGGTGTCCTAGGCGGTGGTGCCACAGAAGCGACGGGTGAGTAAGCGACTGACACGAGCAAGCCGCAGCAACCTGGGTAGACGCTGCCACCTGGGGGGGAGTCCCAACCGGGGGGGATGCGGTGTCCAGCGTGAACAGGCCAGACATTGGGTCCCGGGGGAATGTGGTGAGGGGGGCACCAGTGGCGGCCTCGGTACAGGCAGCGTACATCTTGAGACCAGGGAACGTAGTGGTGACGCCGAGGTCTTGAAGGCAGCCGACACCAACTAGGTTTCGTGAGAATCAGGGGATGTGCAGGCCTGTAAGAGAGCCCGAAGTAACGGCCGGATAGGGGAGGGTGGTGGAACTACGGGCGACTACCGGACTTGAGGAAGGGTCTGCAAGGGCAACTGCGGCAGGGACGGCAAGCGGCGTCAACGTAGTGTGGTCCCAAAAGAAACACCGAGACTCTCCAGAGTCGAGAGTGAAGGAGAGAGCGCTAGTGGCGGCTTGGGGCGGAGGAGCTAGAGTGGAGCCAATGCTAAACAAAGCAAGTGGTCCTACGCCTGACGCAGCAGGGGAGCCTAAACTAGGCACACTGGGCACACCTACGCTAGGCAACACGGTGTAATAGGAACTAGTCACACCAGAGTCATCGACAATGCTGAGCTAATCTCATCCATGTCCATATCAAAGCTCGTAACACCATGAAAGAGCAGATTGTGCCAGTCGGGGAGGTCTGGCGCGGGGCTGAAGTGGAAACAAAACAGGTCGGCCAGGCGACTGAAACAGCGAGTGGGGGTATGACCGATCTTACGGCACACGAGGCCGTGGCGAGGACCGGTCTGGAGCTGGTACTAGTGTTGGAGTGGTTCCGCCACCCACAACGGACTACTCGTGACTTGGGGTGACGAGGAGAGAAATGCGGACTTGGGGACGAGAAGGAACTAGGAAGCGGGTATTGCGTGAGCGTGAGGTGTACGGAAAGGAGAGAAGCAAGAGAGAAGGTTGAAGGAAAGAGTGATTGAGTGGAAGAAAGGAATGGAATTGACGAGAAACAGATTGACGTGGGGCAAAAGTTGGGTTTCGGACGGGGCGTGTTCAACAAGCATTCGGACTTCGGACCAGTGGCGTGTTCAGCAAGATAGTCGCGGTTGCGTGTGCGACTCGGCTTGACACGAGGCGCGCGAGTTACTCGCAGCGCACACGGCAGCGCGAAATCGTTTGTACTTCCACTATAAATCTGTTTGAACATTTGTGCTTTGTATCTCATTGTTTCTAGTGGAAATTGCTGCCATTTCGTATTGATGATTAGCAGCTACTTTGAGATCACTTTTGGAGGCAAGGCCCTTGAGGCTATTTGCACAAGTATTTCCAAATACTTTTTCGCTGCGCCGGAGGCGATAGTCGCCTAGAACTGGTATCAGAGCTAGCATCGGAGTGCTGGCGAAATTTCTCCGCGACTCTATTTAGTGCGCCAAGTGGAGCCGGGTGTAAGGGCGTTGTAGCATTCTAAAGAGTAGGACGAAGCCTCAAGAATGACAGGCGATATTGGAGAGGCTAGTTCGGGCTCCTCTGTGAGCATTGGAGACCCCCAGGTTAAGGCTCTTTTAGAATTGCTAGCGCATGGGTCGTTGGTAGCAAAACCAACGATAGGGCTCAGTGAAGCCCAGCGTTTTAATGGCAGTAACTATAGTACGTGACGCTTGAAGTTCATAAGGAGAGCGAAGGAGGTAGGATTATGGCAATTCTACCGTCGAGGTGAGAAGGCCGAAGGAGTAGCGACTACAAGCAACCAAGAGGAGGATTCTGGATATCAGAAAAGGAGTGAGCAAGCATTCTTTCAGTTGTGCCATTCTGTTTCTGATGGAATTGCTGTGGGCCTGGATAAGTTTTCAGGCGAGAAAAATCCGGCTCAAGTGGCGTGGGCATACATGGAGTCAGCCTATGGGATGGAATGGAGTGCAGCAGAGTGGGGAAGGGGATAGCAGAGGAGATAGTAGGCAACAGAGGGGAAAGTTCTTTGGAGCTTGCCACCACTGCAAGAAGATAGGGCATAGAACTATCGATTGCTACTCGAACCCCAACAGCCGGAGTTACAGGGGAACACAGCAGCAAGGTTCGGCACCGGCAAAGGCACATGCAGCTGAAGCAGAAAAGAGGGAAGCTGATGTTATTTTGGGTGGTGCACATAAGGCGAATGTTGCGCGTGCATCAGGGGTGTGCCTGATGGCAAAAGGGGGTGGAGAAGCTGCATGGTATATGGACAGTGGGTGCACACAGCATATGACCAATCACAGTGAGTGGCTGAATGCTTTGAGGGCATCAAGTGTGCCGTATGTGCTTGTGGGAGATGATCGGAAATTGCTTGTGAAGGGAGAGGGAGATCTGATTTTGCAAGGGCAGTATGGGGAGTTGAAACTGGAGAATGTGCTGCTGGTTGATGGTCTGTCACTGAATTTGATCAGTCAGTCACAGCTTGACAACACTGGATGCAAGACATTCAGTAACAAGGGCAGCGTGTGGATGTTTGACCATGCGTGGAATGTGGTTGCTAAGGGCATGTTGAAGAATGGGTTGTATGAAATGCTGTTGAATGAGAAGGGCATGACAGCTGAGAAGGTTACCTACCAGCAGCCGACGGAGGAAGGGGTGCTGGCAAGGGAGGAGCTGCGGGCGAGCTTGAAAAGTGTACCTGTAGAGGAGCTGCGGAAGGAAGCGGTATCGATGGTGGCAGCAGCGGCTAAGGTAGACATGGAGACCCTGCATAGGAGGTTGGGACATGCAGGGATGGAGCGGATTAAGGAGTTAGTGCAGAAAGAAATGACAGTTGGAGTGGAACTGAAGGATGGGGATGGGAGCAAGGGGAAGTGTGACAAGTGTGTGGAGGGCAAAATCACCAAATCCCCCCATCCCAAGCATCAGGTGCAGGAGCCATATGGAGCGCTGGAGATAGTAGCAGCTGATGTGTGTGGGCCGCTGAGGGTGGCATCCAGGCACGGGAGCAAATACTTTGTCACCTTTACAGACTTAGGGACTAGGCACACATGGGTGACTGAGCTTAAGGATAAGACGGAGGTCTTCTCTAGTTTTCTGGACTGGATGGTGGAAGCAGAAAGGCAGAGTGGGAAGCAGCTGAAGGTGCTGAGAACTGACAATGGTGGGGAGTTTGTCAATGAGGAGTTCAACAGCTACTTGCGCTCCAAGGGGATTCTGAGGCAATCGACAGTGCCTTACACTCCACAGCACAACAGTATAGCGGAGAGGGTGAATAGGTCACTGCTGGACTGTGTAAGGACATTGCTAGCGGACAGCGGATTACCACTGAAGTTCTGGGGAGATGCCTTGGGGATGGCTTGTTGGGTCAAGAACAGGCTACCTACCAAGGGCTTGGCAGCAGATATGACCCCACATGAAGCATTCTATGGGAGGAAGCCGAATATGGGGTTGGCTCGCGTATGGGGCTGCATGGTGCAGTACAGGGAGCCAGCTGGACCAACCCATAAGCTACTACCTAGAAGTAAGTGGGGGCTTAACCTTGGGATGTGCATGGTGAGCAAAGGATGGGTGATCAAGGATGTGGAGATAGGGAAGGTGGTGGTGACCAGAGATGTGATATTCTATGAGAATGTCACCTACTTGAAGTGGAAAGGGGTGAGTTCGGAGATTGCAACGGCAGGGGAAGCAGCTAACCTAGAGAAGGTGGAAGGGCTGCTGGAGGAGACATCGATTGAAGGGATTGGAGATGAAGTAGAGGAGATTGCAGAAGAAGAAGCACATACTTGGGTGTGGGAGCTTCCAGAGAAAATGGCTGCACAGGGGAGAAAGGAGATGGAGCAGCAGGAGATAGAGCCAGAGGAGAAGGATGCAACGACTGAGGTGGAGATGGCACCAAGGGAGAGTGAGCAGGGATCAACTGCACGAGATGGTCACGATCCATGGAAGCTGCTAGATAGTACAGACAGTCGTGAAGCAGAGAAGGAGATTGAGGAACTACTGGAGGATGGGGCAACAGCGATAGGGGTACTAGGACAGGACGAGCAAGAGGCAGCTGAGAAGGAGAACAGTGAGGTGGAGTCACCTGCTGAGGAGTTGGGGCGAGGGAAGAGGGAGAAGAAGAGAAACCCTAAGTACGTTCACTTGCTCATGACTCCATGGAAGAACGTGCATACCCATCTTCTCCTAACCATATCAGCAACTGCACTAGTATCACGGGCAAGACGGGAGGCGTATGGGCTGCCTAATGAGCCCTTAACAGTGGAAGAGGCCTTGACAGGACCACAAAAGGAGCAGTGGAGAGCTGCTATTCAGGAGGAGCTGGATACACTAGCAGAGAGGGGCACTTGGGAGTTAATGCCCATGCCAGAGGGAAGGAGTGCAGTCGGGGTGAAATGGGTCTTCAAGATTAAGACAGGAGACAAGGGGCAGCTGGAGCAGTTTAAGGCTAGGTTAGTGGCGAAGGGCTACACACAGGTAGAGGGGATCGACTACACCGATACTTATGCTCCTGTAAGCAAGCTGACGACTGCAAGGGCATTTCTCAAGGTAATAGCAGCAAGGAACTACTTTCTAGTGCAGCTGGACATCAAGAACGCTTTTCTGCATGGGGTAGTTAAGGAGGAGCTGTATATGGAGCAGCCACCAGGGTTTGAGGACGGCACTAACAAGAAGTGCAAGCTTATTAAAGCACTATACGGTCTGAAGCAGAGTCCCAGGGAGTGGAACAAGGTGATGGACGAGAGGCTGCTGAAAGGGGGATTTCATAAGAGTGAGTGTGACAGGGCGTTCTACTGGAGGGGAGCTGGAAAGGAGAAGGTGTACCTACTGCTCTACGTGGATGATATTCTAGTGGCAGGGGCACTTCCAGGGGAGGTAGAAAAGGTGTGTGAGCACCTCGCTGAAGTGTTCCAAGTGAAGCAGATTCCGAGGACGACGCTGTTTCTGGGGATGAATCTGGAGAGGAACAGGGAAGAGAGGAAGCTGTTCTTATATCAGCAGAAGTACTGCAAGAGGGTGGAGCAGAAGTTTGGTCATGGCTATGCGAAAGCCATTACTACACCGCTAAGTGGAATGGCAGAAAGTGATAATGAGAGTGAAGAGGATGTGCTGAAGTGGGATGGTCAGGAGCGGGCGCTGCAGATGTACCAGTCTATGGTGGGACAAGTTATGTACCCAGTCTCATGCACCAAGGTTGACATGGCCTATGCAGCAAGCTACTTGGGGCAGCACGCACAGCAGGGGAGGAAATGGAGGGAGATGAGGCGGACATTAGATTACCTGCTGCAGCATCAGGATGAGGGTTTACTATTTGAAGGAGGAGAGGAGACATTGGAGCTGGTGGGGTATGCTGATGCCTCACATGCATCATGCAAGGAAACCAGGAGAGGGGCATATGGATATGTGTTCCTACTCGGAGGGACAGCTATTACGTGGCAAGCTAAGAAGCTGGCAGATATAGCACTTTCAAGTGCTGAAGCGGAGTACATGGCATTGTTCTTTGCATGCCAAGAGGGAGTGTGGTTGAGGAGGTTGCTGAACGAGTTGGAGATAGACGTGAAGGGGCCTACAGTGGTAAGGACGGATAGCAAGTCAGCTATGGACTTGGCAAAGAACGACAACTGGCACGGGAGGACTAAGCACATGGATGTGAAATATCACTGGGTGAGGGAGCAGTTAGAGAAGCAGCAGTTCAAGTTCGAGTTTGTGCGCACTGAGGAGCAGGCAGCTGATTTCTTGACCAAGGTGCTGCCAAGGGCCAACTTTGAGTACTGTAAGGAGAAGGTCGGGATACGTACCTTGAAGGACATGCAGGGGAGTGTGAAGGTAACTTAGAGGGTGTGGCTGGCAGAACCACAGGGGAGGTTGTTGGAGTGGTTCCGCCACCCACAACGGACTACTCGTGACTTGGGGTGACGAGGAGAGAAATGCGGACTTGGGGACGAGAAGGAACTAGGAAGCGGGTATTGCGTGAGCGTGAGGTGTACGGAAAGGAGAGAAGCAAGAGAGAAGGTTGAAGGAAAGAGTGATTGAGTGGAAGAAAGGAATGGAATTGACGAGAAACAGATTGACGTGGGGCAAAAGTTGGGTTTCGGACGGGGCGTGTTCAACAAGCATTCGGACTTCGGACCAGTGGCGTGTTCAGCAAGATAGTCGCGGTTGCGTGTGCGACTCGGCTTGACACGAGGCGCGCGAGTTACTCGCAGCGCACACGGCAGCGCGAAATCGTTTGTACTTCCTCTATAAATCTGTTTGAACATTTGTGCTTTGTATCTCATTGTTTCTAGTGGAAATTGCTGCCATTTCGTATTGACGATTAGCAGCTACTTTGAGATCACTTTTGGAGGCAAGGCCCTTGAGGCTATTTGCACAAGTATTTCCAAATACTTTTTCGCTGCGCCGGAGGCGATAGTCGCCTAGAACTAGCAGCGCTCGTCACTCGTACCACCACCCGACGACGAGCTACGCGCACGACCACCGCGACCACCACCACCACCGGCGCCAGGCCACCCAGGTGGGAGGTGGCCGACCCTCCGGTGCGACTGCTGCTGCTGCTGCTGCGGCTATTGCTGCTGCTGTTGGTCAAGTTGTGGCGCGTGCTGCTGCTCCTGCTAGGGCTGCTGCTCCGAGGCATCAGCCCCAGCCCCCTCGTCGGTACTACCACCAACGGAAGAACCACCTCCACCACCACCTCCACCCCCTCCTCCACTAGCACCGCCGCGCCCAGCCTTGGGGGGGCAGGCCTTACCATAACGGGACTGCGCTGCGGCCACCGGGGCAACGGTCTCAGCAGCAGGGGTTGTCTCAGCGACAGCCGCAGAACCGTCAGAGTAAGTGCACTGAGCGGGAGCTCAACCCTGAAAGATAGGGACCGGTGTAGTGCCGCTAGACTGGGCGATAGAGCGCTGACGGGTCTCTATGGCAGACAGGGTGTCGACAAAGTCTGGGAGTGTAAGGTCAGCATGGTGTAGACTCAGATAGTGGTCGCGGGCAGTAGCCAGGTGATCAGGGAGGTGGGTGGCAAGCAGGTAAAGAGTAGAGCAGATAGGGGGCTGAAACACACTAAGCTGTGCCTCAGTGCAGGCAGCGCGCTAGCTCGCGTCGAGCGTGCACAGGTGCGCGGCCAGGTCAGCGACGGTGGAGAAAGACGCGCGATCAGGGAAGAGCATGAGAAGGATTAGGTGACCGGCAGAGGCAGAGGACGGGGTGGAATAACGCTCGACAATAGCCTCTAGGAACTCCTGCGCAGTCCTCATTGACTTAAAGCGGGGGCGCTCAGACAGGGGGAGGGCATGGCTAATCACGAGCCGAGCGACAGCGTCACGCGACAGCCAGACAGCACGGGCAAGGGTAGCAGCGGCGGCGGACTCACGGTCAGCAGACGTGGGGTCGGCAGGGAGAGCAGCAGGGGGGTCAGGGCAGGGGAGCGTACCGTCAATGTGGACGGCCAGGGAGTGGCCATCCTGCCGCTGACCAATGAGGTGACGGCGGAGGTTGACGAGCCACGCGTCGAACTCAACCGGCTGACCCTCCGCGTCAAAGAAGCAGCACCAAGTGCGTCATTATGTCCGCTGCAGCCGGGAACAGGCGGTGAAGGGCGGGACGGAGCGACGAGGAGCAGTGGAGAGCAGTGCTGTACGGTGCAGTGCGGTGGAACGCGGTGCAGAGCGGTGCAGTGCGGTGGGGCGCGGTGCAGTGCGGTGCCGCGCGGTGCAGAGCGGTGCAGTGCGGTGGGGCGCGGTGCAGTGCGGTGCCACGCGGTGCTGAGCGGTGCAGCACAGTGGGGTGCAGTGCAGGACGGTGGAGAGGGTCGGTTTAGCGAGCAGGGACCGGGAAACACGGCCAAGGGTGGGGGGAGGGGGCGGCTGAGCATCCGAGCAACAGGGCCGTGGGGAGGCTAGGCGACGGGGCCGCGGGGCGGCTGGGCGACGGGGCCATGGAGCAGCGGGGCGACGAGGCCGCGAGGCGGCTAGGCGACGGGGCAGCTAGGCGACGGGGCGGCTAGGTGACTGGCCGACGGGGCGGCTAGGCGACACGGCCGCGGGGCGGCTGGGCGACGGGGTCGCGGAGCAACGGGGCGATGAGGCCGCGGGGCGGCTAGGCGACAGGGCAGCTAAGCGACGGGGCCGCGGGGCGGCTGGGCAACGAGGCGACGGGGCGGCTAGGCGACTGGCCGACGGGGCGGCTGGGCGACGGGGCCGCGGGGCGGCTAGGCGACGGGGCGGCCAGGCGACTGGCCGACGGGGCGGCTACGCTAGGGGCGACGAGGCCGCGGGGTCAGCAGGACGGCTAGGCGCAAGGCGACGAGGCGACAGGGCCACGGGGCCGTTAGGCGCCAGGTGACGAGACGGCGGGGCCACGGGCGGCAAGGCGCTAGGTGACGGGGCCGCGGGGCCACGGGCGGCTAGGCGCTAGGTGACAGGGCCGCGGGGCTAGCGGGGCGGCTAGGCGCTAGGTGACGGGGGCGCAGGGCCAGCGGAGCAGCTAGGCGCTAGGTGACGGGGCTGCGGGGCCAGCGGGGCGGCTAGGCGAGGTGACGGGGCCGCGGGGCCAGCGGGGCAGCTAGGCGCTAAATGACGGGGCCGCGGGGCCACGGGCGGCTAGGCGCTAGGTGACGGGGCCGCGAGGCCAGCGGGGCGGCTAGGCGCTAGGGAACGGGGCCGTGGGGCCAGCAGGCGCTAGGAGACGGGGCCAACGGGCCAGCTAGGCGACGGGGCAGTGGGGCCAGCGTGGTGGCTAGGACCTAAGGCGGAAGCGCAGGTGGGGGGGGGGGGGGGGGGGGGGGTTAACCTACTCATGATACCATCTCAAAGTTAGAATGGTTGACTAGAATGGGAGCATTTGACTAGAATGGAAGCATACAGGGGTATATAGCTAATGGATTGTACTCTCTATGGCATGAACCTACATGTAGTCTACTAAACATACACACATATATTTGATAGTGTGTTCTTAGAGAGTACAACTCAAGGCCTATATCTCCCTTGTTCTCTCATGTTTCTATTTCAGTCTAGTATTCTAACATGACCATGCTGGAGCAGCTGTCGCTGTTGCTGAAAATGGGGGTGCTAGGGGGTGTGTGTGTGGCTTAGTGTGCTGTGTGTGTGGTGGGCTTTCAGCTACCAAGCCTAGGGGGTGTGCAAAATTATATATTTTATATATGTAATTGTAGGCTTGGTAGTTGTGCTACTTACTGAATCCTACTGTAGAGGGGACTACCCCCCTTCTTGTATCTCCTCTTCTAATCTCATCCTCCTCTCGCTCGACATTTTCGTAGCACCTAAAACCTCTCGCCATTCATGGCGTCTCTTCCTACCGGTACCGTAGGTCCAAAAGTATTCCCAAAAGCACTTGCGTTTTTTCAGAACATCGTGGTACGACGATGCCATGCTAACCCATTTCAAACTCAAATCCACAAATGTTGAGACGTCGATCTCCCGGTATAAAGATTACGGCACACAGATAAACTTGGATCCTACGGTTCCAGAGCAGGGCATGCCGTTGTAGTATAGAAATTTCGAGGTCGCGGTAGAGGTATCTCCACTGTAGAAGCGGTAAGCAGCTGAACACGCCAGCGATGGGGAGATGGGCTTCACCCGGCCCTTTTTGCAGACGCGCGATTTGATTGACCAATAGTCTGCCCTGAGGCAAATCTGAGGTAAGAAGGCGCGGGTGGAATAAATGCATGAGCAGGAGAAACCAGACCTGACAAGTGAAGACTGGCAACAGATGCAGTAATGCAGAATTCGAGGCAAGCGCGATGAGGACAGAGAGGCGTCTTGTGGAAGTTATGGGGAGAAATACCTGCGAGCATAGAAGTGCCCCCAACTGCTTTACTAAATGCCGCACGAGTTCTGCCTTCCCCTTCCCCTTCCTCACCCAACCAGAACTGCCCCCCAGTCCTCACCTGCACGCCAATCTTGCTGCCGACAACTGAGGCGGAGGAGGGGATGGTGAGGGAGCAAATGAGGCCGGGATTGATGCGGTACAGCTCAACCAGGGGGTTCCATTGGTCCTTGATGGCCTTTAGCATCAGCCGGATGCACGTGTCTTGAGGTGTCAGCATGCCGTATTGCTGGCACTGGGGGACGGTGTAGGCGAAGGCAGCATTGCGCTCGAGGCACAGGGAGCGGCCCGCCTTGATGGGCTGGGAGCAGTTGAGGCCGGGGTTGAGAGAGGCGAGGCTGCCCTCGTTCACGTTCACGTTCATGGATGCACAGGTGGCCTCCTGAGCGTGGAACAACGGCGGGGAGAGTGGAGTGCAGCGGGTGAGCATTGAAGCATTGACAGTCGTGCGATGTGCATGGGGAGTGCAAGCGCAAGTTGGTTGAGTGCATGGTGTGGTGCAAGCAGGAGGGAAATGGGTCTCACATTGAGGGCATAGAAGAAGGCAGTGCAGGGTGTGGCGGGGGTACCACCCAGCTGAAGGGCACTGCCCTTGGGCAATGGGTGGCTGCAATCCATCGCCTGCATTCAGAAACAAGGGCGTGGCACCATGGCAGGTGAATGAGGGGTTCTCATCCTACTTCACACGGATTAGGCGTCCACTCCTTATAAGGTCCTAAAAAAATAATGGTGTCAGTACACACGTTCAACTAGAGCTCATACCGTAAAGAGCTAATGTTCACAGGCGTGAAACAAGCAGATACTGAGGCCGGATGGAGGCTAGGCCCACACTCAGCATCCTACTCTGACCAACAAAAACCATACCGCATTCTGAAGGGTGAATTGATCCATTGTGAGGCCAACAAGTAGATAAACATCCGAGCACCACCAGTTGTCGCCACTGACTGTCATGCTGGTGGCCGTGGCGTTAGCTGATGGCAGCATGGAAGGCGACACAGAGGAGTCGGCCCGTCGGGGAAAGGAAGGGAGGAGGGCAAGTTTGGGGAGAGAGGAGAGGGCGCGCCCATCTCATGCGATGATGCAACAAACATTCAATCGTGACGCAACAATAACACGAGGAAAATTTTCAGGCAGGATAGATTGACATATTCAAGGCCAGTCACTTAGGCTGAAGTATGATCACCTGGATCGCAGGTGGGGAAGTTGAAAACATCTCGGCTTGCAATGTAGTTGGGAGGGCAGATGCATGAGTAGGCGCCCCTGCCATCGTTGATGCATGTGCCCACATAGCAGGGGTTCTTCAAGTACGACCCGCACGCGTCCACTGGCAAAATTGCATTGGGGTGGTGGATAGCACAGAGATTCGAGAAAAAGGGTTCATGGAAATAAGTGCGATGCATGGAGAAAGGAGAGACACGGGGGCTGAGGGGCATTTGAGGAGAGTACAATGTTCACCCACGCCCATCAACTCCTCGCCCCTAAAAAGGAGGTGGGTTTGATCCACAGCAAGCATTTGAACAATACATATGGAGCTAGATATAGACTGTAGTACATGGCTCATCCACGCCCCTCATCTCCTCGTCGCTCTGCCCGCAGCTCCCTCTTTGCTCCCTCCCCCCAGCGCTCCTCATGCCGCACCCGCCTTACTCCTCCACCCTGCCTCGTGACCCGTGGTTGGTGGTGGAGCTCACTTGGTTTCGGAGTGTCTACTTTTCGTAAGTCACCTTGTTTGCTGTACTTTGCACTCATGTTGCACGTCGTACACGGACCGTTTAGAAAAAGGGAGGAGAAGAGAGGTAGAGAGAGAGGACGGTGCAGGGGAGGGTGCAGAAGTTTCTCACAAACTAATGAGCGATACAAAAGCCATCCGCATACTTCACTCAAATGCAACTCTTACCATAAGCACATGTGTTGGAGCCGTTTCCATTTGCAATCTCAACAAACGGCTGCGTGGCAACTCCAGAAATGCTGCAGTTGCAGGTGTTGCTGCTACCGGTAGTGGCCTTGCATGCAAACCCGCCGCACGGGTTCATGCTGGGCTTTGCATCCTCATCGCCCCTGTAGCTGCCTTGAGCGCAGGGGTCCTCTGGAACTGGCAGGAGACAGAGAGGGAGAGAGAGCAGAGCAGAGCAGACCCTTGGAGCATATGAAGATGGGGTTTGGAAGACCATAGCACAAGGAGAAGTGTGGAGTAAAGGGACTTCACACTTCATGCCACCCCCCAGGCCCAGGATACACAGTAGCTAAGCTACCAACACACGACTCTTGTGGGGGGGGGGGGGGGTGGTTATGCATTATCATTCGATATGAAGTATAAAACTCGCTTCACAATGGGGTAGATGCCTCACTCTTGGGAATGGTGTAGATGCCTCACTCTTGACTGTGGGGTAGATGCCTCACTCTTGACAATGGGGTAGATGCCTCACTCTTGACAACGGGGTGGATGCCTCACTCTTGGGAATGGTGTAGATGCCTCACACTTGACAATGGGGTAGATGCTTCACTCTTGACAACGGGTTAGATGCCTCACTCTTGACAACGGGGTAGATGCCTCACTCTTGACAATGGGGTAGATGCCTCACTCTTGACAATGGGGTAGATGCCAGGCAGCACGTTGATGCCACACACGCCATCCCCTCCCTGAATGTCCATGCGCATGTGGCCACTGTCGCCCCACTCCTCTCCCCACGAGTTGCGGATGATCCAGAATGGAGGTGCAATGTGGTTGGGGCTGCTGTCATCGCTTGTAATGAAGTAGCCAACAACGAGTACAACATGATTCAGGTTGCCGGTGTAGCACTGAGGATCGCGGTACTTGAAGGTCTGAGGCAGAAGAGGAGCAACACATCCACCATAAGAGCAGGAAGAATCTAGTTCAGCATGAAGTTGAAACAGCAGCCATTGTAGCTCTTCAAAACGCCAGCAGTTGACTACGTGTGTAGCATGCATGCGATGCAAATGTACGTGCCATCTCTGCATCTGAATTCCAAAGTCGACCATATGACACCGTACTTTGTAGGCGGGGCAATAACTCACTCACCCCATCATACATGGCGAACGTGGCAGCAGAGGCCTCGATGTGAGCCACCACTGGCTGCCGCTGCACTGCCAGCATGAGCCCCACATACCCCTTGAACAATGTGCGCTCGAATGCCTGCACTGGATACCTTGTTGCCTGGGACCACGGGATCGCATGATCATTGGAAGGGGGGAGGGTGGGGGGATTTAGGGAGCCATGACAGAAGGGAAGGGAGAAAGAGAGGGTAAGAGCACCTCGCCACGTTCCTCCACAGAAGAAGCAAGGAATGTCACAAGCAAACAAGATTATGGCAAGAGATGGCTCAACGCAACAGAAACAAAGCGGTGTCTCAAACACCTATCACAGGACGGAATTCGTTCTTTCTCCAGATCTTCCTTGTCACTAAAATAAGGTGCTTTAGCAAATGATTTGGAAGTCTTGAAAAGACATGCATTGTGGTTCCATTACATAAATCCACCCCTCACGACACAACCTCACCTCACCTCACCACACCTCACCTCACCCTTACCACATCGGTCTGTTTGCCCTACCGGATCACTGTCCCCTGTGAGGCCACTGCTGCCTTCAAGAGTGACCAGCTTCTCAAAGGCATCGGTGGGGGAACCTCCAGCTGTGGACTTGTTGGTGCCGATCAGCCCCATGGCTGCAAAGAGTGATTCCACTGACAGCTGGGGAGCGCTCTGGTTCCCTGCGATGCCGTATGCTGCCTCCACACTCGCCACCACCGTATACGCCCAAGAGGCATCTGCGAAGAGATTAAAAGAGGAAGGAGAACGTGAGGGTAGAAAACGTGTAGGGACAAAGGCATGTGCGCCTCAGGCGATGACGCACATCGTGCAACCAACTCCTACACCCCTCAACAGTAACACAAAAATTGACCCGACATTAACCACCACATGTAAAAAAAAAGGCCAGCAGCAGTATACTGTCATAGAAGGGAAGACCATAACCTGAACTGAATGAACCTTCCCCAGCCACACTCACTTGAGGTTGACATCCTATTGTGACTCACTGCAGTCGTTCTGGTTCTTGACCGGCCAGGCGAGGAAGTCCAAGGACGCCCAGGAGTGGAATGCGCGGATGCGCCACGAGTCCTGCCTGCTGGCCGCCGCAACGAAGTCCGCACTCACATAGCGCGACAAGGGGCTGGCCCGGGGTGGGGCGTAAGTGGTCACTGACAGTGCGAGGCCACGTGCTGTGAAGGGCGGGAAGGGCGGGAAGGGGTGGGCAAGGAAGTTATGAGAGGGAGCATGAAACAATCATTTGAACACCAAGTTGAGCATCCCAGTTTCTGAACAAGAAAAAGAGCTCGTATCACTGTGAAAACTCAGATTCCAGTATCGCTTCACGTCACTTGCTGTTGTACAGCTGAAAAAATGCCTTGAAATAACAAAACGTGCCGTGGAATTCGAGTGCACCCTCAGGCTTCCGAAATGGATATGCACCATGCAGGCTCGTTTCCTGCTGACAACATCCATCACTGGTTGCCACACACACAGCGCAGATCCCTATTGGTTGCCAGACGACAGTCATCCCATTGGCAAAGAGCTCACCTTGTCCTTTGATCCTGCCTGGCTTGCGTGAAGGAATACCTGTAGAGGAAACACACAAGGCGAGAGCGAGACAACCACAGTGGGCACAAGGTGATGGTTGAGTTTAGGATGAGGGAGATAACCACATGACTGGCAAGATAACCTCTGGCTAGATACCCTGCCTGCTGTAGCCACAGCCAATACCATCAGCAACGTTGCCCAGTGGCGCACCACAATCAAGCACCAATTGCCACAACAATGGGGCTACCATCTGTGGGGCTACCATCTGTGGGGCTACCATCTGTGGGGCTACCATCTGTGCGGATACCATCGCTTTTGTGGCTACCAATACTAGGTGGTTATCGTAAACATCATTGTAGTTGCCAGCACTACGGCGACACCACCTCCACCCCCCTTCACCTTAGATGCTGTCATCACTCTAACAGGCCCGACCACACCATCATCCCATCAACATCACCACCATCACCATCACCACAATCACCATCACCACCACCACCACCACCACCACCACCACCACCACCACCACCACCACCACCACCACCACCACCACCACACCACCACCACCACCACCACCACCACCACCACACCACCACCACCACCACCACCACCACCACCACCACCACCACCACCACCACCACCACCACCACCACCACCACCACCACCACCACCACCACCACCACCACCACCACCACCACCACCACCACCACCACCACCACCACCACCACCACCACCACCACCACCACCACCACCACCACCACCAACCACCACCACCACCACCACCACCACCACCACCACCACCACCACCACCACCACCACCACCATCCCCACTGTGAACCCATCCTTGCCTGTGTGCACGCTAGAGTCGATGATGCCATGCAGCTGGAAGGGCTCCTCAGTGGTGGACGCCACGAAGCCAAAGAAGAACGCCTGCTGCTGCTTCCCACCAGTCTCCTCCTTCCCACCAGCCCGCTGCTGCCCACCAGCCAGCAGCACCTCACACAGCGCCAGCTCCCCCTGCAGCAGCGGCTCCTCCGGCTTGGTCTTAGAATCATTCAGGAACACCCGAATGGTGCCAGGGCTCCCAGGCTCATAGTCCACCCATGCCGTGTATGCATTGGTGTCCGTCAGAGTGAATGGTGGCACTTGGGCGACCACTGATTCTTCCACGCCCTTGATGTTGAGCCCCACATGCTGGCTGCTCTCATCACCGTGCTTCTCATCTCCACGCGTGCCGAATTCAATGGCTATACTCCGAGCTCCCATCCCGCCATACCCCACACCATCAGGGCTCCCCACCTTTGCCTCTGCTGAGATTACAAACGCAAAGCCGTTGGAGCCGGCAGTACCATACTGGGGAATGAGGGAGAAGGTGAAGTTGACCTTGAAAGGCAACTCCGTGCCACACCCAGAGCTCAGGCCACCTGGTCCTGGGTACGCAAAGAGGGCCACTGGCTTTGCCATGAACCTCCCCGCTGTCTCGCGCTGCGTGCCCTTGGTGAGCACGGTGTATGGCGGGAGAATAGGCCCGCTCATTGAGAAGCTTCGGACCAAGCCTGCGCGGATGCGATAAGAGGGAGGGAGAGGTGGAGAAATGGTGCCTGCCAGGTTACACACACAAAATGTCCAGCCCTTTCAGGGCGGCGCCGAAAACTAGGGGAACACATGCTTCGCGTGCATTGGTCAAAAGTGAAAATGTACGTGCAGATGAGGATGAGTCAACAAAAGCACACGAATCCGAAATGCAATGGCGACTGCTCCTCGGTTGCCTTCAATGCCTATCTTGTGATCTTGTGAAAGGCACTGCTGCGATCCTTTGCTCTCACACCATGATGCGCTAAATAAATGCGACAATAGTCACTTACCCTCCCCAACGCAGCCATTTCCTCCAAGCTGCACAAATCCCGGGGCACATGACAAGCACGTTGGCACCAAGCCGGGCCCGTCAGGATAGCACATGCCGCTGCCACCGCAAGCCGCAGAGGTGTTGGAGACGCCACAAAACGCTGCGCATGCTGCTGCAGGCCGCTGCACTTGGAAGGAACACTCCTCGTGCGGTGTGAGGCAGTTGGCAAAGAGAGTGTGTCGCTCGCACTCGGGAGAGCTGAGAAGGCCTGTCAGGTAGTTGCTGGACAGGTCAGAGAACCCTGCTAGATACATAAGGGGCCCTGTAAGGGAGTTGTGAGAGAGATCACTGCAAGTGGGAGGGGAAGAAGAAAAGGGAGTAGGGGTGGTGCGGTGGGGTGGCAAAATAGGCAGGGGGCATGGTAGAGGGCCATTAGGAAAGCCTGGATGGATATATGTGAATGCTGTCACATGCACGGCGCAATAAAGGCCTGCGCAGAAAGGAAGGAGTGCAAGGAGGAGGAGGGAAGGAGGAAGAGGGGGAGGAGGAGGGGGGGGGGAGGAGGAGGAGGAGGAGGAGGAGGAGGAGGAGGAGGAGGAGGACGACGACGACGACGACGACGACGACGACGGCGACGACGGCGGCGGCGGCGACGGCGACGACGACGACGACGAGGACGGCGACGAAAATGACGGAATGATTCTTGTAGGGTTTGGAGCGGCGTGGCATACAGGAAAAAAGGCTGCTTCAGATCAGTGATTGTGGCGGGGATGGATCCGTACAGCTGATTGTTGGCGAATGACCTGCGGAATAAAGACATTGGGGCAAGAAGAATCACACGAGTTTGAAGAATCTCAGGATTTGATAGCCCTGGGAGGAGTGGAGGTTCGGGGGGAGGGGGGGGGCTACAAGAAGTCAGCATTGGCGGGGAATGTTTTGTACACAACGTGAAGAGTTCAGCACAACGAGGCAAGCTGCAGCAGATGTGCTTCAGCACGAGTTGATGGGCGATGTGCAGCTTGAGAGAACAAGTGCCTTTCACGTTGTGCAAAGGTGTGGCGACTTAGGGAAACGCAAGGGTGCTGCGCAGTGCAGTATCTCAAGGGCCAATAAGCACTACAAATAATGCCCCTGTGCTGTGCGACGTGACATAACAGCTGCAAGTGTTACAAATGTGGTTACAGGGTCCACGGGCCCCCCATGGTGTGGTGCCATAAGGCATTGCAAGCATCCATGAAGGGAGGAATGGGAAGTGCACAGGAACAGAAAAGTGGAGGCATGGAGGCATGGCAGGATAGAGGCATACCCTGTTGGAGAAATGCAAGTGATGCAGGAAGCCTGGGCACAGGAGCGAGGCCAGGCTGCAACAACTCACAGAGAGAAGAGCTTCGTTAGCTTGCTGATGGATGACGAAATCGTTCCCGTGTGTCGGTTCGCACTGAGGTCCCTGCACAGGCACATGCAGCACAGGCACATGCCGCACAGACACATGCCGCACAGACACATGCCGCACAGGCACATGCCGCACAGGCACATGCCGCACAGGCACATGCCGCACAGGCACATGCCGCACACACACATGCCGCACACACACATGCCGCACACACACATGCCGCACACACACATGCCGCACACACACATGCCGCACACACACATGCCGCACACACACATGCCGCACGCACACATGCAGCAAGCAAACGGAAGCCGCACACACGAGGTGAGTTTTAAGCCGACTCAGAAGGTCCCTGCATGGGCACATGCAGCAAGTAATCGGGAAGCCACACGACGTGTGAGTCGGCTCAAAGGTCAATGCACATGCACATGTGCAGTTGGTGCATGCAGCAACCGGACGGCCACGCATGCTCAATGCACCCCACGACCATCAGACGGCTCACGCAAAGAATCATGATGCAACTACAACAGGGCCTGCTATTTAGGAGGAGGCGATTGGAGACAAAAATGGCCAGGTGAGAACGGGCATTGACCTCTTACAACCAAATCAGAGACTCGAGCCCGAAGATGCTTTCCGGAATGCTGCCTTCCAGCTCGTTTTGATATAATTCGCTGCAGCATAGTAAAAAAATAGGAGCCCTCAAGCATTACTAGTCCACGTGCAGATGCGTGCGGCGATCAATCAGCCAAGGGCTCAGTGTGGAGCACAACACACACACAGATCCAGCAACAATCAACAGAAGGAGTTTATGAGCAGCACGAACCACAAAACAAAAGGGTCACCTCGCTATTTGTCGTGTTACTGGCTTTTGAGTTGACTCAAAAGTCACCTCGCTACAACTCTTTTTAGGCCACACGCAGATCCAAAGACACAGCAAGAGGGGAACTAAAAAGATCTCATGTGAGTAATCACGTGGGGAGGTGAGGGCTGTGTTGTTCTCAAGAGCGCCAGGAGATGAGTGAGACTATAGAAAGGCGACACAGAGAATGCGTGCCACGATGCGAGTAGGAAGGAGAGGGAAGGGGAGGTAAATAGGCATGTGCAGATAACTGAGGAGGAGGGTTGAGGAGAAACAGAGGCATGGCGGCACTGACAGCCTGGTAAGGTTGGTCAGGGACCCGATGGACGGAGGGATGGGCCCCGTCAAGCGATTGCCACTCAACCACCTGGAGCACAGGGGAGAGGGTTTGAGAAAAGTTGAAAAAAGTGGCAAGAGATGGGAAGTGCGACGGTGAGAGGGACAGGGGTTACAGGGCATGATGCATAATGTGGCTGTGCAGAGCTGTAGAGATTTCCTTTTCCCCCCACACTTGAATTTCAAATTTGAGAAGAACTGGCTGGATAAAACTTTGGAGTCAAGAAATGGAGGGATTGCCCCGTATGTACGGTGAGCAATGGGGCGCAGATATGACCAAGAAAGCAAAAAGACATATTGTGGTGCCACAACATAGTCACATGAGTGCACCTCTGTGGCATGTGATCCCCACCGTGGCATATGACATGGGTAAGTTGAATGGAGAGAAAGGGTCAGGCCTAGTAGCAAACTAAGGAGAGAGGGTGACAAGGAGAGGTTGAGAGAGGAAGGCACAACGAAACGAAGCAAAGGCCTTACAGGCTTGTAAGGTTCTTTAGATTGCCGACTGCAGCGGGGATTGAGCCAGTGAGCTGATTGTCACGAAGATTCCTGTGATTGCACGGCACACGAGATGATGCACGGCACACGAGATGATGCACGGCACACGAGATGATGCACGGCATACGAGATGATGCACGGCACACGAGATGATGCACGGCACACGAGATGATGCATGGCACACGAGATGATGCACGGCACACGAGATGATGCATGGCACACGAGATGATGCACGGCACACGAGATGATGCACGGCACACGAGATGATGCACGGCACACGAGATGATGCACGGCACACGAGATGATGCACGGCACACGAGATGACGCACGGCACACGAGATGATGCACGGCACACGAGATGATGCACGGCACACGAGATGACGCACGGCACACGAGATGATGCACGGCACACGAGATGATGCACGGCATACGAGATGATGCACGGCACACGAGATGATGCACGGCACACGAGATGATGCATGGCACACGAGATGATGCACGGCACACGAGATGATGCATGGCACACGAGATGATGCACGGCACACGAGATGATGCACGGCACACGAGATGATGCACGGCACACGAGATGATGCACGGCACACGAGATGATGCACGGCACACGAGATGATGCACCAGCACACGAGATGATGCACGGCACACGAGATGATGCACGGCACACGAGATGATGCACGGCACACGAGATGACGCACGGCACACGAGATGATGCACGGCACACGAGATGATGCACGGCACACGAGATGATGCACGGCACACGAGATGATGCACGGCACACGAGATGATGCCCGGCACACGAGATGATGCACGGCACACGAGATGATGCACGGCACACGAGATGATGCACGGCACACGAGATGATGCACGGCACACGAGATGATGCACGGCACACGAGATGATGCACGGCACACGAGATGATGCACGGCACACGAGATGATGCACGGCACACGAGATGATGCACGGCACACGAGATGATGCACGGCACACGAGATGATGCACGGCACACGAGATGATGCACGGCACACGAGATGATGCACGGCACACGAGATGATGCACGGCACACGAGATGACGCACGGCACACGAGATGATGCACGGCACACGAGATGATGCACGGCACACGAGATGATGCACGGCACACGAGATGATGCACGGCACACGAGATGATGCACGGCACACGAGATGACGCACGGGCACCACCGAGATGATGCACGGCACACGAGATGATGCACGGCACACGAGATGATGCACGGCACACGAGATGATGCACGGCACACGAGATGATGCCGGCACCGAGATGATGCACGGCACACGAGATGATGCACGGCACACGAGATGATGCACGGCACACGAGATGATGCACGGCACACGAGATGATGCACGGCACACGAGATGATGCACGGCACACGAGATGATGCACGGCACACGAGATGATGCACAGCACACGAGATGATGCACGGCACACGAGATGATGCACGGCACACGAGATGATGCATGGCACACGAGATGATGCACGGCACACGAGATGATGCATGGCACACGAGATGATGCACGGCACACGAGATGATGCACGGCACACGAGATGATGCACGGCACACGAGATGATGCACGGCATACGAGATGATGCACGGCACACGAGATGATGCACGGCACACGAGATGATGCATGGCACACGAGATGATGCACGGCACACGAGATGATGCATGGCACACGAGATGATGCACGGCACACGAGATGATGCACGGCACACGAGATGATGCACGGCACACGAGATGATGCACGGCACACGAGATGACGCACGGCACACGAGATGATGCACGGCACACGAGATGATGCACGGCACACGAGATGACGCACGGCACACGAGATGATGCACGGCACACGAGATGATGCACGGCATACGAGATGATGCACGGCACACGAGATGATGCACGGCACACGAGATGATGCATGGCACACGAGATGATGCACGGCACACGAGATGATGCATGGCACACGAGATGATGCACGGCACACGAGATGATGCACGGCACACGAGATGATGCACGGCACACGAGATGATGCACGGCACACGAGATGATGCACGGCACACGAGATGATGCACAGCACACGAGATGATGCACGGCACACGAGATGATGCACGGCACACGAGATGATGCACGGCACACGAGATGACGCACGGCACACGAGATGATGCACGGCACACGAGATGATGCACGGCACACGAGATGATGCACGGCACACGAGATGATGCACGGCACACGAGATGATGCACGGCACACGAGATGATGCACGGCACACGAGATGATGCACGGCACACGAGATGATGCACGGCACACGAGATGATGCACGGCACACGAGATGATGCACGGCACACGAGATGATGCACGGCACACGAGATGATGCACGGCACACGAGATGATGCACGGCACACGAGATGATGCACGGCACACGAGATGATGCACGGCACACGAGATGATGCACGGCACACGAGATGATGCACGGCACACGAGATGATGCACGGCACACGAGATGACGCACGGCACACGAGATGATGCACGGCACACGAGATGATGCACGGCACACGAGATGATGCACGGCACACGAGATGATGCACGGCACACGAGATGATGCACGGCACACGAGATGACGCACGGCACACGAGATGATGCACGGCACACGAGATGACGCACGGCACACGAGATGATGCACGGCACACGAGATGATGCACGGCACACGAGATGATGCCCGGCACACGAGATGATGCACGGCACACGAGATGATGCACGGCACACGAGATGATGCACGGCACACGAGATGATGCACGGCACACGAGATGATGCACGGCACACGAGATGATGCACGGCACACGAATTAATCAGGCGTGCGATAGGTGCAGGGAGAAAGCAACGAGGGGCGAGATTCGTATACATGCCCGAGGGCAGCGTGATGGCATTTTCCTTGAGAGTGAGGAGAGAGGATTCCCTCGTTTCCTCCAAGGTGCGCCAGTCATCTGGACACAGAGAAAGAAACAGCTGCAGGCGAAATAGTCGAAGGGCAAAGGTTGGAGAGCCCAACAACGCAGAGGCCTTACAGGTATCTCAGGTTTCTAAGCTTGGTGATGGTGGTGGGGATTGGGCCAGTGAGTTGCCTCTGAGAGAGATCCCTGTGGCGACGAACACGCATCACGCATGCCATAGGTTCACGGGGGAGAAGGCTCGAATTACGAACGCATGGTGGCACCGTGATGGGCATTGACTTTTGAGTCGACTCAAAAGTCATCTTCCCTAAAATGCAAGGAGGCAATAGCAGGCAGGGCAGAAACGAAAAGAGGGGCGTCTTGTTCGCATGCACGGCATAGCTGATCACCCTCCCCACACACAATCTTGCCGCAACGCACCAGATGAGAAGAGTGGTTACCAGTCATCCCAAATATCCCACTGCGCCCTACTATGACGGCTTGAGACGCAACGAACTCACGCACATGTGCACGATCATCCCGCTGCTGTCGCACACAATGGCGGCATAACCAAGAGGGCAGTCGCGGCTGCTGCCAACCAGCTCAACGACGCTCCGACTCCACGCTCTCTGGCAGTCCTGCAGCACTTGCACTGCGGGTTGGGGGGAGGGGGGGGAGGGGGGGAGGAGGGGGGGAGATGGGGAAAGGGGGAGTGGGGGAGGGGAGTTTTGAGTACTGTAGAGGGCGCGGGGCGACTTTGATCGACTGAAAAGTCAGCTGCAGTGAGAGCTAGTGCCAACGAGCACCGAAGCCAGGAAGCTCCACACTCTCTGGAAGTGCCGCATGAATTGCATTGCGGGATGGCGGAGAGGAGAGGGGGGTACAGGATGACGGATAGAGGGGGGGGGAGAGTGGGGAGTGGAGAGATTGGGGAGAAGAGTGGGGAAACATGGGTTGTTAGGCGGCGAAGGTGGGAGTGGAGTGGGGGGAGGAACGGGAAGCGCGAGGTGGCTCACCCCACCTGGGGATGTGCCACTGGGGGTTCAAGTCGAGCGGGTTGTTAAGCCAAGGCCGAGGGGACGATGCGGTGGGTGGGCGCAGTATGATGTGCGTGAGTCCACGGCAGCATGCAAGGACCGCCTCTCTCTCACCTTGTGTGGCCTCCAGGCGCACGGCGGCGGCGTGGGGCCGGACCATCGCGAGGCCTCCCCGGGATGCGGCAAGGGCGGCGAGGCACCACGTGAGGCAGTGCCACCAAGCGGATGCCAGCGCGCGTCGCGCCCCCGGCTGGCCTGAGAAAGGTGGCGCCATTCCCTGGCGGCTCACGGCTGCTGACTCAGCAGCACGGGCGCGCGTTTATGCTCCGAGCTGGAAGTCGTGCCTGGCGGGCCGGCCCTCGCGGGAGGATGAAGACGGGGGTGAGCGCGCGGTGGTGAAGCGGACGCGCCTTGGGGAAACGAGGGACGAGCGAGTCTCAAGGGTCAAGTGATTTTCACGGTCAGCGGCGCAGCAGGGGACTAGGACAGTGCGGTCTCCTTTCACTGCAGAGAAGGTCGCATTGTGCGACTAGTAGTAGTAGCTCTATTATGCGGAACCGTCGCAGATATATAACCCTGGAACGCGTGTGCACTTTGTGCCCAAACGAACGCAAATGGAACACGAAACAGAGGACTCAGGCCGAGGCTCGGCCTCCAGGTGTGTGGTGCGCCGCACAGAACGACGAGCGCGAATCGCGCTTCCATGAACGGCCAGCAGCAGCCTGGTGCCTTGCTCCATTAGCAACCGATGGGAACGACACGCCATGACTCCCTCGGACATGGCACGGCTCTGACTCTGCCTCAGAATGTCTGCTGATTGCGTGCTACTTCTGTAGCATGAACAGAGTAGTACTCTCCGCGCTACTACGGTACAGCACAGTATCGCGCGTGACGTCACGGCTCAGCGAATCCACCTGTATATATCAGAGGTGGTCTCTCAGGGCCTGGTTCTGACCGAATCAACTCCCCAGTTCCTCGCGGGTCGCGCGCGGTTACACCGCCACAACCACTACATTTTGCAACGCGTGGGTTCCCCGCTTGGGCGGAACAAACCCTTTCCACGATACCCAGCCAAGCACGCGGAATGCGCCCTGGAACGCGCGGACGCAAATCCCGGTTGTATTTCGCACGTTTCGACGGCGAGTGACAGCCAATCAAACTCTGGTCCGCAAGACATGCTGACTCAGCTCAGTCGAAACGTGTTTCGGCAAACGCGCTGCTCGTTCTTTCTCTGGCGGCCGGGTTGGTTGCGTGTGGGGCGCGCTCTGCTTGATGTCCTTACAAATCTTAGAACAAGTCGTCATTTTTCTGACAGTTCATCTGAGGGCGTCGTACGTTTTTTTCGAATTGAAATAATTTTGAACTTTTAGTGCGAACAAGACGTTCGCACGCTTGGTGAAAGGTCACAAACGATGTGTTTGTATCCGCCACAGAAGTCTGCGACACGAACTTCGCGACACCAATTTGGGTGTCAGCGGAAACAGAAAGTCGCAACAGCGATCCATGCCAAAACCCCCCACATCCTCCCTCGCGCGAGATGGGGCTTTCGTCTGTGATTTTGTCCGTGTCGCAAATAGCGTTTGGCTGCTTCCACTTTACGAACATCAGTCGTTCATGAGTGCGGGTTTTGAATCTTCCGAATCTGTCGCCTTTTCGCGCAAGCCTGCTGGCGATTTCATTCGCGACGCTGGCGACAACATTCCCGAACTCATCGGGTGAACCGATCAACGTGTCCATCCCTAAGGTACTCTGCTGGGTACTACAGCCACTGCTGCCCAACCGAGCTGAGCTCGGCCCGCTGCACGCGAGCCACCCTCAGAGCTGCCGAGGCGACATTTGCGCTGGGCCATCCATACCCCGCTGATGAGGGCCATCCAAAACTCGGCAGCCTCGGACAGAAGCTCGCCCCAAACGGATAGATACACCACATGATGCTGTTGTCTCCGTGTTATGATAATGTCGAATACAAATGAGGCAGAGAGCTTAATACAAGCACACGAAACACACGAGGTGGTTTGGGCGCCTCGGGATTCAGAAGTGTCGAACGTGACTCCACGTGTAGGCTTGGGGGTCTCAAACGTAGTTCGGGACCAGGGTTGTTGGGCCGAGCCTGGACTTCCGAAGTTCAATAATGTATGTGGTGTTAGTAAGGGACCTAAGGAAAAGGATTCTTCCTAGAACCTTCTGTCAAACATGTCTATTTGGTATGTTTGTATAGACTGTATAGGGTAGCCTCTTAGAGGGTACAACTATATTGTGTGTACTCTCTCTCCATCATAATCACTTGAATTTCTGATATGGTATCACGCGTAGATAGGATCCCCCCCCCCCCCCCCCCCGCCTACCGCTTCCGCTCGCCCCCCCTAACCCCGTCGCGACCCCCCCTAGCCCCGTCGCGCCCCTTCCTGGGACTCATCGCGCCCCTCCCTGGGCCCCGTCGCGCTCCTTCCTGGGCCCCGTCGCGCCCCCTTCCCAGGCCCCGTCGCGCCCCTCCTGGGCCCCGTAGCGCCCCTCCTGGGCCCCGTCGCGCTCCTCCCAGGCCCCGTCGCGCCCCCTCCTGGGCTTCGTAGCGCCCCTCCTGGGCTTCGTAGCGCCCCTCCAGGCCCCGTCGCGCCCCTCCCAGGCCCCGTCGCGCCCCTCCCAGGCCCCCTAGCGCCCCTCTTGGGCCCCGTCGCGCTTCTCCCAGGCCCCGTCGCGCCCCCTCCTGGGCTTCGTAGCGCCCCTCCTGGACTTCGTAGCGCCCCTCCAGGCCCCGTCGCGCCCCTCCTAGGCTCCGTCGCGCCCCTCCCAGGCCCCCTAGCGCCCCTCCTGGGCCCCGTCGCGCTCCTCCCAGGCCCCGTAGCGCCCCTCCCAGGCCCCGTCGCGCCCCTCCTGGGCTCTGTAGCGCCCCTACTGGGCCCCGTCGCGCCTCTCCTGGGCCCTGTAGCGCCCCTCCTGGGCCCCGTCGCGCCCTCCCTGGGCCCTGTAGCGCCCCTCCTGGGCCCCGTCGCGCCCCTCCCAGGCCCCGTCGCGCCCCTCCTCGGCCCCGTAACGCCCCTCCTGGGCCCCGTCGGGCCCCTCCTGGGCCCCTGTAGCGCCTCTCCTAGGCCCCCGTCGGGCCCCTCCTGGGCCCCGTCGCGCCCCTCCAGGGCCGTGTCGACCCCGCCTGCCGCCGTCGCACCCGCCCGGCCCCGACGCGCCCGCCCGGCCCCGTCGCAGCCGCCTGGCCCTGTCGCACCCGCCCGGGCGCCGTCCTGCTCGCCCGGCCCCGCCGCACCGGCCCGGCCCTGCCGCGCTCGCCCGGCCCCGTCGCCCCAGCCCGGCCCCGTCGCGCCCGCTCGGCCCCGTCGTGCCAGCCCGGCCCCGTCGCACCCGGCCCGGCCCTGCCGCCCTCGCCCGGCCCTGTCGCGCCAGCCCGGCCCCGTCGCGCCCGCCCGGCCCCGTCGCGCCAGCCCCGGCCCTGTCCTCCTCACTGGTACGGTTCCCCCCACTCCGCACCACACTGTACTGCCTTGCACCGCACTACACCGCATTGCACCGTACTGCACCCCACTGTACCGCACTGCACCGTACTGTACCGCACTGCACCGCACTGTACCGCACTGCACCGCGCCCCACCTAGCTGCGCTGCCCTGCACCGCACTGGACTGTTCCTGATGGCGGCGGAGCTTCGCTTCGACGCTGAAGGTCAGCCCCTAGAGTTCGAGGCGTGGCTTGCCGACCTCCGCCGTCAACTCACTGGCCAGCGGCAGGATGGTGAACCGCTTTCCGCACACCTTGACGGTACGCTCCCCTGCCCAGACCCCCCTGCTATTCTGCCCGCTGACCCTACACCCACTGAGCGTGAGGCTACTGCTGCCACTGCCCGTGCGCGCTCTGTCTGGCTTTCTCGCGATGCTGTCGCCCAGCTTGCCATTAGCAACGCCCTCCCCCCGTCCGAGCGTCCTCGCTTTAGGTCCCTCACTACTGCTCAGGCATACTTAGATGCTGTCATCAAGCGCTATTCCACCCCTCCAACTGCCTCGGTGGGTCGCCTGATCCTCCCGATGCTCTTTCCTGACCTTGCCTCTTTCCCCACTGTCTCTGACCTCGCTGCCCACCTGCGCTCGATAGAGGAGACCTGGCGCGCCGCCTGCACTGACGCACAGCTTAGAGCCCACCAGCCGCCCATTACCTCTACCCTCTACCTGCTTGCCACCCGCCTCCCTGACCGCCTTGCTGTCGCCCGCGACCGCTTCCTTAGCCTTCACCCCGCCGACCTCACCCTCACTGACTTTGTAGACACCCTGACTGTGATAGAGACCCGTCACCACTCCATCGCCCAGGTGAGCGGTGTCGTGCCTGTCCCTATCTTTCAGGGTTGTGCCCCCGCCCAGTGTACCTTCTCCGACGGCTCTGTCGCAGTGGCTGAGACTGCTGCTGCTGCGCTGTTTCGATCGGGGAAGGGCCGCCGCCCCAAGGTTGGGCGCGGCGGCGGCGGAGGCGGGGGTGCGGGAGGGGGTAGTGGTGGGGTCAGGTCGTCTGGTGCTGGAGCGGACGAGGGGACCCTGCCCAGTTCCGCTGAGCCGCCGCCCCTGCAGTTGCAGCAGCCGCCGCAGTCGCAGCCTTCGCAGCAGCCGCAGCAGCCGTCGCAGACGCGGCAGACGAGTGTCCTCCCGCCCGGGTGGCCCGGCGCTGGCGGTGGTCGGGCGCGTGGTGGTGTGTCGAGTGGTAGCTCTGGCGGCGGGCGCTGTCAGTACCAGATCCAGACCGGTCATCGCCGCGGTTTCGTTTGCGGTAGGCTCGGTCACTCCACTCCCCGCTGTTTTCGTCGCCTGGACGACCTCTTTCGTCAGCGCTTCGGCCCGTCGCCAGACCTCCCGGATTGGCACAGTTTGCTTAGTCGTAAGATTCAGATCTTTGATATGGACATGGATGCCATTGTTTCTGCTCTGCATGTGATGTATGCTGATGACTCTAGTGTGCTTCCCGCTTATTACTCACTGTTGCCTAGTGTAGGTGTGCCTAGCTTAGCCTCCCCTGCTGCGTCAGGCGTAGGATCCCCTGCTTTGTGTAGTCTTGGTGCTTCTGCCTTCGCTCCGTCGCCAGACCCCTCGGCTTCGCTTTCCTTCACCTTGGACTCTGGCGCCTCTCGGTGTTTCTTCCGCGACTCCACCACCCTGACGCCACTTCCTGTTCCTGCTGCCGTTTCTCTTGCTGACCCCTCTGGCGGTCCGGTAGTCGCCCGCAGTTCCACCACCCTTCCCTGTCCGGCAGTTCCTTCGGGCTCTCTTACAGGTCTGCATATCCCCTCGTTCTCCAGGAACCTAGTTGGTGTCGGCTGCCTCCAGGACCTTGGCGTCACCACTACGTTCCCTGGTCACGAGCGGTATGCTGTCTGTACCGAGGCCGCCACTGGTGCCCCCCTGTCCACGTTCCCCCGGGACCCGGTGTCCGGCCTGTTCACTCTGGACACCGTGCCCCCCCCCGGCTGGAGCGCCCCCTCAGGTGGCTATGTCTACCCAGGTTGCTGCTGCCTGCTCCTGTCGCTCCCTCACTCACCCGACCCTCCTGTGGCACCACCGCCTAGGTCACCCTGCGCTCCCGCGTCTGCGTCACATGTCCCAGCACGGTCTTGTCCTTGGTCTCCGAGGTTCACTCCCCGCGTTTCCCTCCTCCCCAGCTCCACCTTGCACGCCCTGTGTCGAGGGTCGGCTTCGCCGTGCCCCTCACTCCTCCTCGTTCCCCCCTACCGCCGCGCCGCTGCAGACCCTGCACCTGGACGTCTGGGGCCCTGCCCCCGTCCCTGGACCGCGTCGCGAGCGCTACTTCCTTGTGCTTGTCGACGACTTCACTCGTTACACCACAGTCTTTCCCCTGGAGCGCAAGGCCGACGTGCCTGGCGCCCTCATCCCCTGGCTTGTCTCTGCGCGTGTCCACCGCGGTCTCCCTGTCTTGCGTCTTCACTCAGACCGTCGTGGCGAGTTTGCCTCAGGTGTCCTTGGTCGCTTTTGTCGTGCGGAGGGCATCACCCAGACGTTCACCCTACCGGACTCCCCACAGCAGAATGGGGTCGCTGAGCGACGCATCGGTTTGGTCATGGAGGTCGCTCGCACCTCCATGGTCCATGCTGGTGCACCCCTTCCCCGGTTGTCCCTGCCCCTCCTCCTCCCCCTCCCCGTCCTGCCCCCTCTAGTGTCTCCCACGTCACCCCCCTTCCGTCCGTGGACCCGGTTGAGGAGTCTTCTGACTCTGGTGGCCCTCCGGTGCAGTCGTCGCCGGCCGCCCCTCTCCAGGTGTCC